AGGGTGGAGGGTGGGGCGATGAGGGTGTGGGAGAGTCTACTCTTCGTACCTTCTTGTTATAAATCATGTTCAACAAAATAAACATCAATATTAATCATTCCTACTAATTATCCATCGCGCAGTGCCCGATCATCCACAGAGTAGGCTGCTGCTTGCTCTAAATTCAAACTATCATTAGGGCATTCGTGCCAGTTTTCGAATATAGAACTCCTAATCAGAACTCCCACTAAATCTTCTGTATTGATATTTTGACATTATCATAATCATCTGCAAATACTCGTTATTTCGTAGTCCATACTATGATCTAACTTTTATTAATCATCATCATTATCATCATCATCAGTTTTAGTCTCCCTGACTTTCCCTCGCTGGTTTCTGGTTCAATCCAGTTGACATGGTAGGTGGGTTAAGGTGGGGAGAGTTGTACTTTGCAAGGGCAGCACAAGGAGGGAGGTGCTCGCCTTTTTAGGGAGTAAGGGCAGATTCGGGGACTGTTCCAGTCTGGGGCTGGGAGGGATGATAAGGGCCGCATCACCTTCTAAGCGGTGGCAGATTAGGGCAGGGCCAGATAAAGGTGTACCTTTAGGGGGAATTGGTAGCCTCGAGGGAGTAAGGAAGGTTGACGTGTCATTCTCTTGTTGCGGCCGAAACGAACTGCCTGTTTTCAGTGCAGTTCTGCTCAGCGGAGGCAGCAAGGGGGTGAAGGGGAGATAGGGGAGGGAAAGAGGTGGGGAGGAGAGGGGAAGCTGAATCAACCCTAATCAACATTTTCATTAACATCATCGTTTGCTTTTTCACTGGTCTTTTTATTATGACCTTTTCCTACTTTTTTCTCCTCTAGTTGTTATTCATTGTGTACAAGCGAGATGGCAAGCGGGTAGTACGAGGGGAACTGATCTCTATAGGAGCATCACAAGGCGGGAGGTGATTGCTCTGTAAGGAGTAAAGGTAGAACATGGGATGTACTAATCTGGAGCTGAATAACATCTAGCGGTGGCAGATTAGAACAGCGGAAAGATCGGAGGATACTTTTGGGGGAATGGCATGCCTCGAGGTAAGCAGGGTTGTAAGTGGGTCTGCTCCTAGTTGGGGCTGAAGAAGACTGCTCCACATCAGGGTGGTTCATTCGGCGGAGGCAACAAGGGGCGGAAAGAAACAGGTAGAAGGAGAGGAGATAGTAATCACTATCAACCAATCTTCATCATCAGAAGTTTTTTTCGGTTTAGGATTTACTGAAATCAGATCCTGGAATGCTAGGTGTCATTATTGACTTAGCACTGTTAGCAGTTTTTTGAATGTGCTGTGTTTTTGTAATTGCCCAGTTTGAGTTGATGCCAGAGCGACGCTGGCTAGTGCTGGGGCTTGCCCTGTAACCTGCATGAGTAGGAGCTTGAGGCCTTGTAGAGAGATATGGGGATTGCTGAGGGAGGAAGGCAATTCAGTAACTTGACTGACGGCTACAATTAGGACCGACAAGGGTCGCAGCTGGGGCGGGTAGCGTTGCCCTGTATCTCAGCTAGATTTAGGGTGTGAGACCGGGTAGAGGCTTGATTGGTACATGGCACAACTCTGTTTAAGGGATGCTGAATTGATAAGATCACCTGAATTTAGGGATAGGATAGAAATTGAATCCTGAATAGAACGATCTTCTGGTTAATCTTCCTAGTTTATAATCCAGTAGTTCATAGGCTTTTGAATCATCCTGAATCTTTTTGAATCATCCTGAATCTTTTTGAATCAACCGGAATCAGCCGGAATCATCCTCAAACCATCCTGAACCATTATCAAACATTGTATTCCAATTATAAGGGACGTTGGGCCCGATTCCCATCACGTGCTGCTCCCCACGAATAGATCAGAGCTTTAAAAAAAAAAAAAAAAAAGAATGGAGATCCCTACTAAAGAAGGACATCAAATGGGAAGTAGGAGACTGAGCAACGGACAAACAACAATCAACGCCATCAGTAACTCTCAAATTCCTTAAGAAAGTAGACACCCTCAGCAACACCGCAGAGTTCGAAGTACATAAGCTAATAAACAATCACAAGACAATAGCAGAAATCAAAGAGGAGAGCATAACAACTTTAGAGTTTAACTTAAAAAATATGAGAAAAGTCAAAACATGAAACCAGAAAAAGAACAAAAGGGCACAAAGTAGCGGACACAAACCGGACAGACTACAAATATTCAGACCAAACAAGGATATCAGTGAGTTGGAAGTGGACCCATGGGAGTGGGGATGGTTCATTAAACTTGGCAGAGGAAGAGCAAGAAAAAACTAATCAACCTACAAGACTATGAAGTAAAGTTGGGCTACAAAATAAGGAACAAGACAGAGGACCCATGCCCAGCCATATCAAGAAGATGGGCCAAACATCTAGGAGAAGAACATGGGTGGCCTTCCGAAATTCCATGGGATTATTACAGAAGCCTAAAGCCCCTTAGATTCAGAAGCCTACAATGGCTGATCCACTATTGGGCGGTACCAGTCAATGAATGGCTGGACTCACGCAGAAGAGAAGATCAGAGGATGGAACATCCCTCTCACTGCAAAATGTGCAGGGACAACAAAGTAGAGTCGCTCATCCATTGCTTGGTAGAGTGTGCACACGCAACTGCTCTATGGGGTTCGGTCAAAGAGACCCGGCCCAACATTTCCTTTTTTAATCCGTACCCAGAACAAACCAACTACCTACGATCAGCAAGAGACACGGAAGAAAACCTGTCAGAAGAGGAGAAAACTATAGCTGACCTATTGAGAAGAGCGGCACTATGGGTCATATGGAAAACCGGATGCAAGGGAAGTTAGGGAACTCTAGGGGACCAAAGAAAAACAAGCGACGAGGAATGGAGAGAGAGAAAAGAAATAGTAGAAACAGAAATTAGAGCACATCCAGAGAGAAGCAACCAATGTTGTTCCTCGGGCTTTCCTACCATAAAGGGGAAGAGCGTGTGTGTGCCCGACATGTATTTACTATTGACTTGCCGGTGGAAGAGGAACCGGACTGATGCTCCCCAGAATGGAAAAGGAGCCAGAACTCTAAGGTTCTGTTTAAAGGGGGGGGGGGGAAACGCAGGAAACAAGAAAGGTTAACGGACCCGCAAAAGAGAGAGCAGAGTCTGAAAGCATTCGAAGAAAAATGGCTATTAACTAGTATTAAGTAAGAAAATAGCAGAAATAAAACCGAAGAACACTAAGGACCCAAGAAGGTCGCTCGAATACAGGAATTATGCTATCTAAAAACCAACAGCCTGAGCCAGGAGAAGAAACCAACCTTCGGAAACAGAAAACGCAAAAAAAGAAAACAGGTAATACGAGAAAACAGACCTCTTAATTAGGAGCTAACAGAAGTTAGAGTTTAACCTACGCTAAAACCAGACCCATACTGGTTTCAAGCCGAACAGACACCAAGTAAGGCCCCAGAAGATAAGAATAGATTCTAATAATAATAAGAAAACCAAATACACCCATCATTTATTCTATCTCAGCCATCACCGTTATGAAACCAACCTCATAACACCCAACCACCTCCACGACAGAAACCTCATCACCACCTCCTCCTCTACACATTTCCTTCTACTCCCCCCCCCCCCCCCGTCCCCCAAACATCCGAGCAAACACATACTAACTCACACATCCCCCTTCCCCTTCCCACTCCCATGCACCGCATCTATCCCGCAACCACCACTGATCCAAAATTCCCAACCCTACCAGCCACCTCCCACTACTCCAGCCCCAAACAGAGAATATGCCGCAGAATCCAAGCAGACCCCGCATCAACAGACACAGGCAGTAAACAACCATCAGGAAAAGTTCTATCATCAGAGTGCAACCAAGCTAGGGTTTAGGTTTTTAGCTTCAAGCGACACTTTTAAGTAAAACTGCTCCCAAGGTGTCCAGAAGTAGAGTAAAGGAGTCCGACATACCCACTGTCACAGAGAAACACAGACATGCCACAGGTCCAGTTGATAGAGAGGAACAGTCAGAAAAGAGACCTGATATTTCCAGTAAAGTCAAGCAGCAGCTACTAGAACAGGCTAACTTAGGCAGGGGTGAAGATYGGTACATCCTCCTTCAAGGAAGTAATCAATGCCGTCTTCTGGGCCTCCACACCATAAGGGGGAGGAGCGTGAGTGAGTAACCATTGTACTATCTTGGACTTGCCGGGGGAATAGGAACCGGACTGATGCTCCCCAGAACGGGAAAGGAGCCAGGACCATAAGACCAAGTATAAGCTGAAGATCGGAATTGAAATGAACAGGAGTATGAAGATCTGAAGTGAAATTCACAGGAGCATTGGTCCCCCTTTACTCTGCCCTCTGTTATAACGTCCAAGTGGGCAGTTAAGGCACATGGGGATGTGGGCAGCTGCCGCTTAACCACAATCAATTTGGACAGCCTTGTACGTGTGAGGCATAGTAAAAGAGGAGCTGTTGCCCCAAATAAACCCCAGCTAAACACAGTTCTAGAATCTAAATGGTTCTATAACTAATAATATTATGATTCATGTTGCTTGCTAAAGAGGTGAAGTTCGTGAATTGTTGGGCTGGCTCAACTCAAATCTACTCGTCTGGGTGGAATAGGGGCTGTTGTGGTGGAAATTTAAAACACGCAGACACAAACACAAACACAAACACAAACACAATTCGAGGTCGGGGGCCTCACCATGCAAACCCCAGCTTGTTTCAGGAGCAGGTGCACTCGCTTAGGCCATACTAGATTTGTGGATCTATCCTCACAGCAAGTAATGTCCACGTTCAGTGCAAAAGGTCATGTCATTGATACGAGTATGCCCGTAGACTCTAGCAATGGTGTCCTTTTTTTTTTTCTTTTTTTTTTTGAGATGGAATCTTCTGCAGCAATGTGACTGGGAGGTAATGCCCTCGCACTGTCGATAAAGGGACGCAAGTTCAAATCCCGATGAAATCGGATGAATTACAAAAGTAACTCTGCAACAATGTGACCTGGGAGGTGATCCCCTCGTTGTCTGTTGCCGCAGATTTCGCTGCAAGATGAGCGGCTGGAGGGGAAAGGATCTCTAGCATTAATTAATTCACTTGCGGGATACACTCGGCTGAAGAATTTGTCGTTTCTGAGGTGCAATGTAGGAAATGAGGGTAAGCTTTCATTCAGCGATTAAACTACATAGTCAGCGATTAGAATATTCAGAGATTAGACTAGTCGACAATGAAAATAAGTTTAAATAACCAACAAAGAAAATAGTCGGTGACTGAACTGGTCAGCGATTACACTAGTCGATGATCGAGCTGCCATCTTCGTCCATCGAATAGAATGGCTGGTTATTACCACCGTATCCAGACTTGAAAAGTTGCCCCCAAATACAGCAACAATGACGGTACGTTCTACTTGGGGGAAGATGGTAGTCAGTGGGCCAACCCTGATTAATCGCTGACTACAGTGACTATGGTAATCTGTCGCAAAATGTTGTTACTTCGAGCAGAGTTTCAATGATGTCATTGGTGATGCGTCGTGGATGAGCCAGCGTGCTCAATTTCGCAGCCGTAATACCTTATCACTAAAGAGGGAAAAAAAGGAAGTGCAACCATGTATCTACGTGGTCATTGGTGAGTGCAGAATGCCAATTCAAAACGATATGGGAAAAGTTATAGAACCTCCCCGCGGCGAAACCTTTGTATTCATGTCACCCCAAACGGGGCAAAAAGTGTTGCAGGCCCCAAAAAATGACTTTTGGCGTCATTTTTGCATCCTGTAAAACACTTTCCTGCCATTTTTGCCAGCGGGCCGGTACCGGCCCAGCCAGGGTGCAAGAATGACATGAAAAGTCATTTTGGGGCCGCCACACCTTTTGCCCCATCTCAGCCGTCTAGGGCGAAATGAATACAAAGGTTCCACCGCGGGGAGGTTTAGGTTTTATAACTTTTCCCAAACGATATGCACTCCACGAGACAGCGATCACAGGGGGTTAAGATCTTGGTTGTTCTCGCAGAGCATACTCACACTAGGACCAACCAGTCGTTCCTTGTTGGAAATCACCAATTCATGGCACATTCATCTACGGCTGGTATTAACCAGATCTGGGTGTAAGTTGATTTCCAACCAGCCGTACATGTCTGGTTTAACCACAAGTTCAAATGAGCGTAAGTTGAAGAAGCTGCGTTTCCCTTTCAAGGCACACGAGCCTGCTGCAACTTCGTCTTTTCAAACTGGCCCCCTCCGTTTTCGCTTCCGGCCCACCAGCCCAGGCCCGAATAGAAATGCGCTTACCACCGTAAACCGGTAAAAGCAGCACTCTGCTTCAGGTGAACTGGCGGTTTAACGGAGGGCCACTTCACCCGAAGCAGAGTGCTGCTCTTACCGGTTTAACCCAGTCTGGTTGGGTGACCAACTACCGGCATGTCTGGTTAGGTAAACTGCCAGTTCACTGGGTAGTTGGCTACCCAACCAGACTGGGTAGTTGGTTACCCAACCAGACTGGGTTAAACCGCCAGTTCACCCGAAATGTGCTTACCGGGTTAAACTGGCGGTTTAACCCAGTCTGGTTTAACCCAGTCTGGTTTAACCCAGTTTGGTTTAAACCAGACATGTCTGGTTGGGTAACCAACTACCGGGTAGGCATGACTCGATGAGACAGTGCCTGATGTCTGGTTAGCGGTGCGGTACAGCCCGCACCTGGCGGCGCTGCACTGCGCGCCAGGTTTTGCTGAACCGCCAGCTGTCCTCTTGCAAGCCATTGGGGTGGTCCGGAAGAGTAGGTCAAAAAAAAAAAGAAAAAAAACCTGTCGCGCAGTGCAGCCTCCAAAATTAGAAGAGTAGGTCATGAAGAAATCTTGTACGTCTGGGGCGGTGTCCTGGCTGTTTAAACCACCAATACCTACGGGTTGGGGGGGGGGGCATTAACCTGGGAGCCGAATCGGCCTGCCCCTCTGGTCCAAATTCATTCGAGGCCAGGGGGTACGAAAAATGCGGTAGGTACTGGCTGTTTAAGCCCTGCTGTGGACATTTGTGCTGATAGGTGAGAGAGGGATGTGGCTTTAGCACCACCGACGTCACCTGAATAGAACGCCCGGTCATTGTAGCCGTATTTGGGGCAACTTTCAGTCTAGATACAGCAATAATGACTGGGCATTCTAAGCGGGTGGTAGGCTTATCATCAACCTAGATCCAGGTAATCTCACAAAATAACACTCATAGATATTGAGCTGGTAATGGTACAATTACAAAGGTGTTCTACAGCTAAAGAACAAGCATGTTCCTGTGCCATCATAGAAACATAATCTTTTTTTTTTAACTGTACAGTCTACCTGTGGTGGGTGCACCGAGCACTTTGAATCTCTGATTCATATCTTTCCTGCCAGTCTCTTGGATTAACCAGAGAACACTGTGCCCTTGGCCCAAGCATCTTTTTTTTTTTTTTTTTTTTTTTTTTATCTTGGGCAGGGGCCATGCTGATCTTCTATGTATCTTTCAAATTCTTTCAATTCACCTTCACTACCTACCTACCAACCACTACTCCTAAGGCTTAATGTACAGGGGACCCCTAAGCTTCTTTTTTCTTTTCTTGTCTTTTCTTTTTTTAAATTTTGCCCGCTTCTCAATTTATGTGTGTCATCCTTTCGTAGGGGCCAGTATTGAATCATCTGACGACTCCTGGTTTGAACTCATGGTCTGTTTGCCAACTTTGTCTACAGTTACATTTGTGTAGTACTGTACCATTCAGGCACATGGGTTGGGTGCCCAAACTCGTTGAATTACTGACAGAGCGGTCACTTCTTCTTCTTCTTCTTCTTCTTCTTCTTCTTCTTCGTTCTTCTTCTTCTTCTTCTTCTTCTTCTTCTTCTTGCTGGTCGCTGCTCAGGACTTAGCGCAGCCGCTGACCTGGTTGCAGCAGGCGCAGTAGAGAAATGGCCACAAGCGCCAAAGCTTCGTCTACTTGAGATCTGTGATGACAGCAACACGTTGAGGAAACGAGTGACTACGGCGAATAATGCTGTAGCAGCCAACGGCGATGGCGTAGGCGGCGCGGGGGAGAACCGTCCGCTGACGACCGCTGGAAGCAATGCTGGGAGTGTGCTGGTGCCAAAGGATCCAAACCTTCCACCTCCAACGGCATCCAACAGTGCACAAGCCTCCGTGGCAGACCACCGCCGGGACAACGACGGCCAGATGTCGGTCAGCAGCCTGGCAGGGGGCGGTAAACGAGGGTTCGGAGCCCACCCTGCAATCGACGGAATGTTGCTGCAGGACTCGAGGAAAGGATCGGCAGCCCAGGGAGGAGTCGATCAGTTCGGCCGACCAAAGTCGCGGGAGGGGATGGGTACACAGCAGGACATGTCAATGCCTTGGCAATCGGGATCTCAAACTCCCAACCCGAATATGCAAGGTCTAGACCAGCGGCCAAGTATTCCTCAGAGGCGGGTGAACCTGGATGGAACAGAGGGCCTGGCGTCAGTTGTGGTCCACGGAATTGCAGGTGAGAGGTCATCGGGATGGTCATGGGACCTGTAACTGGTCCGCACAATGTTCCTGCAAGTATTCCTTGGACCATCTGCTGCTCATCAGTCATTTCGAGTGCTGGGGGGGGTGAAGGGGCCCAAACACGGGTGTGCGTGCAAGGAGTCGTTTTGAGTACTGCGGGGGGGGGTCAAGGGCCTCAAAACAGGGGTATGGGGAAGTCTTTCAATCCAGGCGGTTTCTCTTTTTTGTGGCTTTTTCTGTGTCTTTTTTTGTTCCCCTCTTTTTATTGCCATTGCTATTCTATGATTCGTATTTGTGTCTTTAAAAAGTCGTGAGCCTCGTCTGATCTGACATCCTGGGACGGGCGGGTTTTGTCCCTCCTTGTCACCAATTACACTACCAGGATTTTTGTGCAGTTCACACGGCCCTAAGTCGATGAAGCTACTTTCTAAGGCTCGCAAGCCTGCAACTGCGCCTTTTTGGAAGTGGCCTGCCCTTTTCTGTACGGGACCAGGCCCGAATAGACATGCCCGTACCGCATATATTGGTAAGAGAACTACTTAGGTTTTTGTGAACTGGGACGCTGGACCCGTTTTCCAGCAGGTGATGCTCCCCACCAATAGATGGAGCAGCCAACAGCAGGACTGCCAGGGGAGGCTGCTCATATCACCTACCCTGGCAGACCAAGCTAGGCCTTCTCTTAAACCACCAGTACTTCCTAAAGGCGTGCCCATTAACGCCACGCGATTTTAGGAAACGTACGGGCCACTACAGGAGCGCCCAAATTCATCCAACCAGAAACGTTTCTACTCTATTCTTTTCCACGGCCGATAGCTGGGCCAAGTACTGGTGGTTTAAGTGCAAAAAAAAAGAGGTTCGTGTGCAAAAAAAAAAAAAAAAAGGTTCGTGTGAACCAGTGGTCTGGTGCTTAGGAACGGTCGAAGGGGAAAATGTGTTGGTGGATTATCTTCACAATGTACCAAATTCACAGCGAAATAGTTATCGAGTCCTTTTTTATGGGTCTTCGTTTCTTTGCATAAGAACTTATGAAGAAGATTACAGGGGGAAGGTTCCATCAGCAAAGAGGATTGGATTTCATGCCTGAATCTGGACGTGTTTGAGGAGAAGTGCAGGGAATTGCAATTGGTCAGCTTTTCTGCATCTCTGCATAAATCACATCCCGATTTAGGCATTTAATCCAATTCTCTTTGCTAGTGGGATCTCGCCCCTTGAGTCTAGTGTAGAAAGAAGAAGGCAACTAAAGTGGCCTCTTTTTCTTTGAAGACGGCCTTTTTGTTTCTTTTATTTTGTCCAGATCATTTTGCTATATATGTCTGTCATCCTCGCGCAGAGTCCATGGCTGCCATGCTGATCTTCTCTGTATCGTTCCAATCTTTACAGATACCCTGAAGGACCCCTTTTTTTTTCTGTTTTTTTGGACAATTTCTTGATTTGGGAGTGGCATCCTTGAATGCAAAGAGGCCATTCATGCTAATTAATCTTCTCTCTTTTTCATTCCAAAATCTTCAACGGTCGTGATGTCCTAAAAGACACCTCAGGCAGACTGTCTGGTACTTCGATGGGCAGGCTGTCTGCAAGTTAGAAAGAACCTCCTCTAGACGTCACTTTACTGGTCAGGCTCTGTTTGCTGATTCCTCCCCCCCCCCCTCCTCCCTCCCCTCTGAAAAACAGGTCCTCATGGTTGTGGCTCCATGTCCATTGTGGGGAGTATCAGTCTGGTTCCTTGTCCACTGGCGAGTCAAAAGTGTACTTGAAATACCTATGCTTCCTTCCGGCCGGCCGAAGGACCCCTGAGCGGCATTGATTAGTCCACTAAATTCATTTCCATGGAGGATTTCGGGAGCAAAATGACTGGCGGCACCTGCCAAAAAAAAAGGAGGCCGCCCTGCGCCGGTTCGTTTTCCTTTTTTTTTGGCGTGCAGGCCATTTCCAGCCTCGGAGAAAAGTGCGTTGGAAGTACTGCTGGTTTAAGACAAGAGTCTAGACTCTAGAATATACTTAAAATATATATTATTTTTTCCCCTGCGGTTGTCTCGAGCTTTTGTGAGCCTCACTTGCTGAGGTCGATCGGATTCCTTCTTGCCGGGTTAAACCACCGCAGTACTTGCTAAAGTCGTGCCCTTTAACAAGCCACGATTTTAGGAAACGTACGGACCACTACAGGAGCGTCCAAATTCATCCGACTAGAAACGTTTTTTCTACTCTATTCTTTTCCACGGCTGATAGCTGGGCCAAGTACTGGTGGGTCAGCCCTCTGTCGCTGCCCTGTTATATCCATATGGTCCCACACTGACCCACAGGTCTCCTGTGCTTCCTGTGCTTTCTGTGCCTGGGTCTCTCAATATATGACTTCGTATCCGAGTTATGCGGCTAATGCCAGTCCTTCCACCGTAGTTTATAGGCCCGTACGTCTGGGCCAAAGGCCCTCCTCCATGCAAGCACGGATTCGAACCAGCGACCTGGGCCTCAAGAGCCAAGTATTGTAGCCACGACAGCCAGGACACACAGTGTTCAAAAGTGGAACCATACCGGCCATGATATCCACCCCACCCGGGCAAGGCTGTAGTGTCCAGCTCGACACACACGACACAACAACACCACACGGACGCAGACGTGGCAATTCTTGCACACTTTGCTCCAATCAGCACGTAACCCCGCCACTGGGACATAGCCCGCTCAGACGCAGGGGTCTTAACTTGCCCACGGGTTCACGGGAGCCTCCACAGTAGTTTATAGGTCCCTTGCCGTCTGTACATCTGGGCCAAAGGCCTTCCTCCGTGCAAGCGCGGATTCAAACTGGCGACCTTAGAGATTGAGATCCTGAAACTGAGGAGTATTCCAGGAAAAAAATCCTTCCACACCTTAGATTGAAACCCGGAAGGTTTGCGACCTTGCCTCTTGCCTCTTGCCAAGGTAAAAAAGTTATAAAAAACTGAGAAAAAGTCCTCGAAATTGTTATTTAACTTATTTATGATTTATCGGAGCAAATGTTTTTTGGTTTCTGTGACCATGTATTAATAAAACAGGGGGGATGCTGGAAGCAATCAGGAAGCTGAGAAGAGCTAGCCTGGGGGAGGCATTTGAAGACCCTTCAGAGGACTGGAAAGGTGGATTCATTCCACCAAGTTTTGCAGAATCAGGTCTGGGCAGGCTTGCCGCTGCGTTATGCTTACCTGCATGCACCTTGAAAGTGCTAGCCTTGGATCACAATGCAATAGGTGAGTCCTTTTCTTGTCTCACAATGTTGTATTTAACAGATGTTTAATATTGTTTATCCTTTCCTCCCTTCCTCCCTCCTTTGCTTTTTATTCTTCCTCCCATCCTTATTGCTTCAATTAGAGCTACATTTCTCTTTCATCCTTTCTTTCTTGCCCTCTCTCTTGCCTTCTTCTTTCTTCTTTCTTCTTTGTCAGCTGTTCTGTTTTCTTTTTGTTATTTCTTCCTCTTCCTTGTTTCTTCTTCTTTCTTCTTTCTTCTTTCTTCTTTCTTCTTTCTTCTTTCTTCTTTCTTCTTTCTTCCTTCTTTCTTTCTTCTTTCTTTCTTCTTTCCTCGTTCTTCCTTCTTCTTTCTTTTTCTTTCGTCCTTCATTCCTCTTCTCCTCTCTCCGTCTTCTACTCCCTTTCTCCTTTCTTCCTCTTCGTTCTTCTTTCGTCTTTCCTCTGCGTTCTTTCTTCCTCTTCTTCTTCCTTCTTTCTTTATTCCTTCTTTTCTTCTTTTCTTTTTTTCTTCTTTCTTTCTACCTTCTTTTCTTCTTTTCGTCTTTTCGTCTTTTCTTCCTTCCTTCTTTCTTCCTTCCGCTTCCTTCCTTCTTCCTTCCGCTTCCTTCCTTCTTCCTTCCTTCTTCCTTCCTTCTTCCTCCCTCTTCCTTCCTTATTCCTTCTTTTGTCCCTCCCACTCCCTTCTTCCTCCCTCTTCCTTTTTTCTTCATTCCTCTTCCTTCTTCCTCTCTCCCATCTCAAGCAGGCGGCGGGCGTATATGTGGACAGTAAGCCACGGCTGAATTCGTGCTCGATGTCAATAGCGAGCCCAAGACTTGAGAATCCATGCCGCACTGGATGTCACAAATTTCGAAATGCTTTGTCTTTTCTCTACTCTTCCTTCCTTCTTCCTTCCTCTTCCTTCCATTTTCTTTCTTCTTCTTCTTCTTCTTCTTCTTCTTCTTCTTCTTCTTCTTCTTCTTCTTCTTCTTCCCTCCCTCCTCCCTCCTCCTTAGCAAAAAGAGTTTACACGATCAGTTTAGAAATATAGTTTCCCCAACCTCTCCCTTTTTCCTGAACACCCCCCACTATTCAGCATTCTTTGACTTTTGCCAAGAGCCCAAGCATCCAGCTGCTAGGAGAGAAATACCTTCTCGCTAGTGTGACTGCGATGCTATTTTGGCGTAGCAAGTTCCTGGTTTGGTGAGGCTCTTTTTTCTTTCTTTCTTTCTTTATTTATTTATTTATTTCTTCTTTCTTTCTTTCTTTCTTTCTTTCTTTCTTTCTTTCTTTCTTTCTTTCTTTCTTTCTTTCTTTCTTTAAGTGACTTGTTTGACCTGTTTGTGTTTGTGTGTTCTTGTTTTTGTTTTGGTTGCCTAGACTTTTGGCTTGATAATAAGTACTAATCTAGTAATCCGTTTTGTTTTGTTTTTTGTTATGACGGTGGTGGGCGGGGGCGGGGATGCAGGCGACGAAGGGCTGAGGATTCTTCTTACAGGGTTTTCAAGAAACAACAGTTTGGAGCAGCTCAGTCTGTCATACAACCAATTCACAGCCGTTGGTGCGCAATTAATTGCCGAAGCACTTGACCCGACCGTCTGCGTCAAATTGGTGTACTTGTCCCCTCCCACTCCACCTCCCATTCCATCCTTGCCTCATCTTTCTTTTCTCTTCTTTCTCCCCCCCCCCCCCCCCCCCCCCCCGCCTTCCTTTCTCTTCATTTCCCGAGAACATTTTCTCAATACATTTCTTTTGTTGCCCATAACTTGATAGTGTAGTTTTCTTCCTATACACTTGAGGGAGGTTGCCTTCTTTGTCCATGGTAATATGAAACAATCATTTAACAATGTAAAAAATTAAAAATGTACTAAAATAATAAAATCTTAAGTTTTAACTAACAAAGAAGAAAAATTAAGCCCATTCTTCTTCCATAAAGTTTTCACAAGGTGCAGCATCACTGTCTGGGATTTGGCAGACAACACCTGGCTTGATAATTGTACATGCAATGTAGAAGCATAAAGGTATTTAAATTTACATCTTCGCAGTCGCGTAGGAGCAAGACGAACCAAAAGAAAAAAAAGAAAAAAAAAAAGAAAAAAAAGAAAAAAAAGCAAGAAGAAGAGAAAATGCTTCTTGTTGATAATGATGACGACGACAATGCTGGTGATGATGCTGATGATAATGACGAGGACGGTGATGGCATTTGTTGTTGTCAGTGATGATGGCGGCAACGATGATGAGCAGGAGGAGGATGACTACCAATAAGCCTCACAGTTTTTGTGTGAGCTTATCTTCTTCTTTCTTTCCTCCTCCTCCGCTTTTCGTTTCCGTTCATCGGCAAGAGTGGTGGCATCCTTGGGGAGTGCCCCTGGGACAGTTTTCTGCTACAAAAGTCTGTCGAACCCCTCTGTTTCCTTCCTCCTATGTAATTGTTGGGGGCGATCCAACTGTACATCAGGTCTTAGAGATTTGTGTGTAGTACTCGATTGTATGAATGGGATGTAGATCGGTGGAAGTCCTGAATGAGGTCGTTGATGACCTCGACATCTCAATCCCCTTGTCTGTTTCCCTCCTGGCTTTGGTCACCGGCACGCCTGAACAGTCGTGTGCAACATGTGTCCGAGCGTTGTGTACGCAAAGCGTACTGATAGGAGCGTGGTTCCTAATCGGCCTGTTTGTGAGCTATCTCAAACCGAACTAATCGGCATACTCATAATCAATTTGTCAGTACATTAGATAGTAGTGCACACGACCAGACTCCATTACTTCCTTCCTTTCGACTCAACCATCCACAGACTCAACTCCATACATGGACTTCTGGACTTAGTCATCCATGGACTCACCCCGTTCATAAACTCGTGGACTCAAACACTCGACTCAACACTCCACTCATAGACTCATATTCACAACTCAACACTTCCAACGTAGGAGATAGAAGCAAAAAGGTAAAAGATCCTTTGGAGATATTAAAAAATCACTCCGTGAAGCACAAGTCGATGCTCGGGACAGCGTCCTGCTCGCGCATCCTGGCATAAACGTTCTAAAAGATCCTTCTGAGATATTCAAAAATCACTCCGTGAAGCACAAGTCGATGTTCGGGACAGCGTCCTGCCCGTGCATCCTGGCATAAACGCCCAACGCGTTTCTACTGCTGCCAGACACAGCGTCATCAGGGGCTACTCGAAAGGTAAGTATGCTCTACTCCTTCGTCCTATAAATATTACTGCTCCTTCATCTGCCCTGCGCATTCTAGTACTAACTCTCCCGCCCTTTGCTTTTCAAAATTCAAAAATCCCTCTCCTACGCACAAAGCGCTATTCTCACTTAGCATGTACCGGGTCGATTCCCTGTACCCGTTCATCCTTCACTCTTCAATAGTGCCGCGTACATTCTACGCCGCGTGTTCACTTTCATCTCTCTTTCATATTGGCCCCGCCCATTGTCAAATGTTTCCCGCCCGTTGCTTCTACTTTAGGTGTGCTCACTTTCATACTGGCCCCGCCAATTACCAATCGGTCCATTTGGAACTTGGCATGTACCGGGTCAAAAACCTGTATGTGTTCATCCACGGGTTTTCAGCAGTGTCGCACACTTTTTTCACGCGTTCACTTTTGTACCGGCCCCGCCCATAGCCAACTGGTTCACTTTTCGTATTCCCGTCCTCGGCCGCGTGTCCTCGCACAAAATTTCGACCCAATCGTTCCAGGCTTTTTTTGCTTTTTTTTTTTTGTTGTTGGCTCCGTTCTTCAGATCAGAAAAGATCCGCAGTCTTGTGTCGAAAAAGTTCCAAAAACACCCTCGGAAAGCCCCTTCGCCGAAGCTCCATCTTCAGCGCCAGCAAGGTCGGCCCTCCTGCCTCCTTTACCAGTGTGTGGTCCCCGATTCTGTGCAGGTATCCTGTAATAACTGCCTTTTTAGTCTGTACTCCGGAGTAAGACTCAAAAGTCCTGCAGCCCCTGGAAAACGATCTTCCCCCCTGCCAGCAATCCTGGTCCGTTGGCTGTCGTGGCCGTGCACTGCACGAAAGGGGGGAGCATAGTGATCCGTAGCTCACATCCCAGAAACGGCCATGCCTGCTTGCCTCCATCGGTTCTTTTTAACGTCAGCTTCTCATCATTGTAGCACCTCTCGAACTTGTTCATGATCTCGATTGCTTTGTTCAGACTGTTCGCCTTGTCGACCTTGAAGGCTTGAACGAAATGAAAATGGAGACGTCATCTATTAGTCTGCATCGGCGAATAAGGCGCCTGTCGGCACCAAGCGCTCCCAAAAACATATACTCACAGTATGCACATAGTAAACACGCAAGTCCAGGGCTGTTGCTTCCCCATCGCCGCCATCGGGATGCCCTCCTTCTGTCAAAGGATCGATCGATCCAGCCGCCATGAGGAACGTATGTCCAAGGTAAAAAAACTTCACATATCGGAGTATCACACCAAAAGGCACCGACTTCCACCCAACTTCCCCAGCCGCCTTTCTAAACGTGGCGCCTTTCCCTCTGAGCTTGATCCTGACTTGATCAGGGCCTTTACTTTCATTCTTCTCAATAATCCATTCCACAGCCTGTATGATAGCTTCGTGTGGTAATTTTGAGAACATATTTTTGATATCAAAGCTAGCCGCCAGTATAGCGCTCTTCATTCCTCCATTTGCATTGATCGCTTGGACGCACCCAATTAACTGCTGTGTGCTTTTATTGGTCTTTGCTCTGCTGCATTAACCACCTCCATCCATTCTTAGACAGTTAAGGGCTCGCGACACCACTGTCGAAACCCGAAACGCACGAGTGGATCTTCCGCCAGAGAGCGGCAATATACACCGGTTACCAGGAATAGCAACGTATGCATCTCGCCACTTGCTTTGGAAGATGCACTCGTACCCTTTTTTCTTCGACAGTGGTGTGGTGATTGACCACTTGCCCGCGCCCGCCGCGCTCCTGAACTTGCCAGATCTGCGAACCGCTTTCAGCGACTTATCCAGATGGCGGCTTTGCTTCGATCTGTACTGTTTTGTTTACTTCACAGTTGCTCCCTCCCTTTACCAGCTGCTACCGTCTTCCCCCGAACATAACGCACCCTGAAAATGAATGTATACAAGCTATATTTCCGGTCTGTTACAGCCAAAATGAGGGTGCGTTGTGTTCGGGGGAAGACGGTAGTTACCGGCCTTCCCACTCAGTGCCCGTTCTGTCATCCCTTTTTGTAAAAATCCGATCCCGTTCCTGATTCAGATTTTCAGAAAATTCAGAGAGTTCAATCGGCAGTTGGCGGCTGCCATCGGCTGTATTCCATCGTCGTCACTGCGACCGGTACCGTTTCCCGAATTTGACCCCAAGTTCCGCCCAGTTTACCCCTTCTTTTGTCCCGACCTTTTTAACCCCGGCAATGACAGCCTCCGTCGAATATCCAAACCCCTCATCCCTCTACAGAAGGCCAACAGGCTCAACCAAAGGCCATGGCCTTGGTGTTCGAGTTGTTTCTAATCCTCCAGATCACGCCTATTACCACGGTCCATTTCACCCTCTTAACAGGCGCGATTTTATAGGAGCAATAGTCTTTTGCTGTATTATAGTGTCTGTTGCCCCCTTCCCAAGTGCTTGCTCCATTTTGAAAACTGTGTGCCATGTGGATCCAAGCTGGTGAATCCGTGACCACCAGATTTTGTACTCCTAGAGAAGAAGCAATCCGACTCCCGTTATCAGTCCTTTCAAGAATGAGCTCCTCGTGATAGCATTTGCTAATAGCCTCCATTCTCTCCTCTGCCTTTTACCTCTCCCCTACGATCTCGCTGTCTTATCCTCATCACCGGACACTATGCAGACCACGCAAGTGCATCACGTCATCCATAAAGCGTTCGCCTTGCCCTTTACTGCTCCCGCCGTCTTATCCTCATCACCGGACACTATGCAGACCCCGGCCTGCGGTCGGACGGACTCTTGATTTTACAGCCGCCTTCGCTCTTACCCTCCCCGCTCTTGGTGAGGCCACCGGTGTTACCCTTGCACGCTCTCTCGTCTCACTCGAGCTTTCCTTTAACTCGCGCAGCTCCTTCTCCGCACGAAGCTGCCTCAGCTCCTCCATCTCAGCTGAACTTATCTTCGACTTCTTCTCCACGTCATCCCGCTTACCGGCCAATAACTTCAGCGAGTTTCCAAACGTAGTGTTCACCCACTTCTTCATTTCTTCCTCTTTCACTTCCCCCAGCTGCTTATCTTTCTTCTGATCATCCTTCCTAACCTCAACCTCCATTCTTACCTCTCTCTCTCTCTCTCTCTCTCTCTCTCTCTCTCTCTCTCTCTCTCTCTCTCTCTCTCTCTCTCTCTCTCTCTCTCTCTCTCTCTCTCTCTCTCTCTCTCTCACACACACACACACACACACACACACACACACACACACACACACACACACACACACACACACGCACAACTGATGACCAGCGAGATGCCAACAGAAGAGGAAGGCTTTTGCTGATTCTGTATGCCCTTCGTGAATCAAGAGAGAGGTGGAGACAGAGATATATGTACCATCTGATTTGAAGCATTTGACAACAGATGTTTTGAGATCATTTGACTCACCTTCCATTGTGACTCTGGTGACTGATGATACAGGTGCAGCATGGGCACAAAAGTTTAATAGAGTAATGTTTATGATTTATCGCAGTGTGCGCAATTATTGTCAGTACCCAGCAATACCCACGTCACCCATCAAAGGCTTTTGTGACAGCACTGAAGGCGTACTCACACTAGGACTTGCTCCACTCAGCTCTGGACGTTTGCGGCCAGATGCATTCGTACTTACTGTCCGATACATTTAGGAAGTGGTAGTGTGAGTATGCCCTGAGAGGAGTTCTCAAACATGTGATGACTCTGACGAGTTATTGAGCTATTCATGATATCTCGCTGTGGACATTTTTTGTTATGATTTTTTCCATCAATTATTCTCTCCAAGCCTAGGCTACCAGCCGGGCCGCCCGGGTCACCCTATTTTCCCGGGCGGCCCGGCCGTGCAAGCACCAGGGAAGGTCCCAGCCAAAAAAAAAAAAAAAAAAAAAAAAATCTGAAAAAAGAACTATGTTATGCAGAAAAATAAACTGAACAACTTTCTTTTTTTTTTTTTTTTTTTTTTTTTTTTACTGAACAACTTTTGCCTTAGGGTCAAATCAAAATTCTTTAGGGTCAAATCAAAATTCTTTACCATTTATTATTATTATTTTTATTTTTATTTTTTTTTGGCCCGGCCGGGCAAGTGGACCCGGGCCACTCTGGTAGCCCAGCTCCAAACCTATTAACAGCAATGTTCTTAAAAGTTAAAATGTTGATTTGATTTTGTAGGAACCTGAATGTCCAAGGCAACCCTTTTGGTGGTTCGGGGATCTCACTGTTCGCAAAATGGCTGAGCACAAATGTGGCACTGAAGGTGATCAACCTCGCCTCCTGCAAGCTGGAGAATCATGATGTAGATGACATACAGAACTTGTGCGATGGGCTGAGGGCAAATAACTGCCTTGAAAAGGTAGTCAGCCCACTTCGCTGCTTCCCCTTTTGCCGCCCTCCTGCCTTTCACCGCAAAAAAAAAAAAAAAAAAAAAAAAAAAAAAAAAGGAAGCTTTCTCAAGTTTCTCTACAATTCGAAGGACATCCGTGACACAAATGAGCTTTATCTGGG